AATATGGTTCATGGGGTCACGAAGAGTCGGACATGACTTAACGACTAAACAACAACAAATGCTGTGTCAGGTCAAAATGAGTCAACCTCTCCTCACTGTCATTCCCAGCTCCCATGCCAGGGCTGAGTTAAAGAAAAGCAATTACAGGGAGTCCCCAAGTTAAAAACGCCCTGTTTACAGACAACCCAGAGTTAAGAACAGAGCTTACTGTAGCAAAATTCAAGTTAAATACACAATAGTTCAAGTTCATTGCACAATATTGCTTATACAGTATTATACAATAATACTGTTCCGGCTTACATACAAATTCAACTTAAGGACAGACCTTGGGAATAGAACTCGTTCTTAAACTGGAGACTACCTGTGATGTTATAAAGCTTTAGAAAGAAACCAATTATAAGATGCTTCAAGCCCTTCCTTGAGAGAGCTAGATAACAAAGATGTCCTGGGCAATAATTTACAATATTCACAGGATGCATACACAAAAGATTCCCACACAGTATCTGATTTCAACTCTAAACAGTCACAATTTAAATCTCTGTTAGATAAGCTTCAGAAGCAGGTATTCAGTTCTTTTTCCTCACCAGAGAACAGCTAAGCTTAGTGTCTGTCAAACCTTTGACTTTGTAGGATATCAAGCTTTTATATTTATATATTTCAGATTAAACTTAAAGCTACACTATACAGTTTCAATTCTGTAGTACATACTTTCATTGTTTCTTACCAAGTTTTTGAAGAGTGCCGTCAATTCCTTTGTGAATACAGCAAATTTTAAAAATGCTGTTCCTAAATCTGGATCATCCCTACAGACGCAGTTGCCTCCAAATTTCTCCAAAGCTTGAGTATACTGCTCTTCATTTTCCACATGAGCTTCAAAGAGAACAAAAAGGATGCTAATTCCAGTAACTACCAACAGGTTCTCCACTGAAGAAAAAATGCAAGTATTTACAAATGCACTTGAATACATTCATTTAATTCACGTATTTTTATAGTTTTAAATTTCAAAACAATATGACAGTCTATAGTGTGCAACAGATTTTTTAAAAATAAACTTATCTAAATAGAGAAAAGCAAGAGGATTAGATTGTCACATGTTCAAAAACCCTAAATTGATTCCAGTTAAATAACTCAAAATATAGGGAAAAAAGATCCAGTCCAAAGAGTAAATAATACAGATGGTAAATCATCATCACCATTATCATCATCATCTCTAAATTTATCTCACATTTAATAAATGCAGCTTAGTATACCATGATTATTATGTTCCACATTTCCTCATGAACAGATACAGTCCTCCCTTGTGGGCACTCTAGCATTTATACAAAATTGCAGCCCCATGACCTGCTAACAAACTCTTGTCCATTCATTTCAATGGAACTACATCTGTGTCAGAAAATGAACAAAGAGGCCTGCAAGGTATTTCAGTGCTCCACTCAGTTCCATGAAGCAAGGTCACAAATATCAAATGTTACATGAAAAAGAAAATAACAAATTATTAAAGAGATCAAATACAAATAAGAGGAAGGAAAATCAAAACATGCAAGGATATGAGAAAATAGAGTGCAAGCAGTTAGGATCCTTGGCAATATCTTATATTAGCATTTATAAAATATGATGCGTATTAATGTATACAAACTATGACACTTTACCATCCCCAGATAGTACTGTTACACTGGATAGGGATAGTGGGAGTGCTATACATATTTGAGGAGCACTGAATTGGTAAAGATGTTAGCCATGTTTTTAAACAAGTGTGCTTATTCCAGGCCTCTTTATTTTAAAGAAAAAAACAATGGAAATAGGATCAGATCCCGACTGAGTCCTGTGCTGATATTTTGCTGAAAAGTACATCTGGGAGTTATTTTATATAGGCTCGTAATGATTAGAGACAGGCAATTTCACAGAAATGCTTATCTTCTCAATGACATTTGAAATCATTGGAAGTAGTTTCCAAAGGCCCGTTAAGGCAGTCTTAGACCTAATTATAACCTGTCCTATTCAACTGTCGCAGAAAACTATGAATAGAAGAAAACAGGAAAACAAGACAGAAAGACAAGAGGAGGAAGAAATACCAAAACCTGTGATACATCCCTAATCCCCCCCAAACCAAGCCTTGAAATTGTACAACATGACATCTGAAATGAACACAAAGCAAGCATTTGCAGCTAACTGCAGATATACTGTACGGGTGGTCTTCGGGTTACAATAGCAATTGGGACTAGAATTACTGTCACTAAGCAATGTGGTTGTGAAGTATGACGTCACATGACTGTGTCACTTAGTGACAGCAATTCCCGCAGTCCTGGTTGCCATCATAACCCGAGGACCACATGGGTTATTAAGCAAGGACTTCACGTGATTGTGAGTTCCAACTTCCTGCTGGTTTCCTCATTGACTTTGCTTGTGGGAAGCCAGCAGGGAGCATCGGTAATCACAATCACGTGACCACGGGGATGCTGCAACAGCTGGAATTCCAAGGGCCAATCATAAGTACCATTCATTCAGCACTATCGTAACTTTTAATGGTTGCTGAATGAATGGTCCTAACCCAAGGACTACCTATATGCTGCTATGGTATACCACTACGTTGGTACCATGTGACTATAACTATGATAAAATTTGCTGCAAGGGCTTTCTGTCCATATCACCATGGCCTCTATAGAACTTTAGGCAATGCAATAATTATCCTACCAACAGGGATATAGGTATCAGTTTTCCTCAACAGTATAGTGGTATTTCTTTAAGGTAGGGGCCTGGCTTAAATATAATTTGCTTTGGTTGTTTGTGGCTTCACAAAAGATGCAAACTCAAACAGTACTTTGCAAACAATGACATATGGTTTAAAGTACTGTATGAACAAAAACAGTTGTAGCCTATTTAGTAACAAACCATGATTTAGCTTGTAAGAACCCAATTTCAACTAGAGATATATAAAATATTTTGACCTTGCCAAAAATGTTTCAAACGTTCAGAATATTCCAATTATTTCAAACGTAAAACAAGACAATTTCAAGGGAGGAACAGTTCCATAGGCCTCCCAGGGGAGTAAGCAGGATCAAATGCTGACATGCACACAATAACGCCACCGCACAAATGATGTAACTTACATACCTGTATCAGGTATCATGATGTGACTGACACAAATTATATAATCATGGTACCTATGCAGTATCATGAGGCACATATAATTATTTTGATGTCACTGTGGCTTATAATAGTTGCCTATAAAATGTTCTAGTAAGGTCAGTCCATATCAAAACATTTCCAGAGAAGTTGGAATATTTGAACAGGACATTTCTTGACAGAAGACTAGACAGACAAATTTCATACGTGTTTAAATTCAACTGTTTCACAGTAATAGTTAATTTGTTATTGTAATTATTGTTAGCAATTACTTATCCTATTTATTTTCAAGTATTTGACCAACTTTATTTTCCAATTATAGCAAGGATAATACTACTGTATATGGATATCCAGTAGCACGTTATAATGGTTCTACAGATATATCATCAGGTATAATACTGAGAACCATACAGAAGGGTTACTTTCAGATCAGTGCAAAGAAAGATTGGGATCACACGCCAACTATGACGTGGTTTGCTTGACCATACTTTGTTACCTAAGCTATAATAGCTGGCTTTTCATAAACTCTAAGACAAAGTTGGTGGCAATGAAATTGGAATCTATTCTTGTGAACGCAAGCTAAAGTAGTCTAGAGTACATTAATCAATTTCAAATTCATGCATGGCCCTCTCCATTCTTCCACCAACGCAGTTTTAATGAGAAGATGAGAAATTTCATTTTCCGTCAGCTATAGTTTATTGATACATCTGAACCATAAAAATGTAAGATATCTTAATTACGTTCCACAGAAGGAAAGGGAATCTACGACTCTCCAGAAGTTGCTAGTAGACTATAATTCCCATCACCCCAGACACTTGGCTGCGCTCCTGGGGCTAATGGGACCTGACATTTGTTGACATCTAGGGCAATAAGTGCCCCACCTTTGGCTCAGAGAAACAAATGAACCTTGTAAGTCACAGTTTGAAATGCATTTGTCTTCCTAATGCAAGATGGGAAACCTTTTCAGCCCTATGGCCACATTTCCTGTTACAACAGATGTGTGTATACACACATACAACTCATCCCCTCCTTTCAGCAATCTTGCTGCAGACAGTTACTTCTGCACTACCTTTAGCTACAGAGAAACAATAGGGTAGGGACCTTGCTTCTCCTGTTTTATCTACAGCACGAAAGCAGCAAGCTATTCTGCTACCAGATGCAGCCTGAACTGCATGATGAAAAAATTGCACAGGATCCTGGGACACTAACTGAGGGCCACAGATTGATTGTGGACTATTCCCTAAATAACTATTCCCTAAATAACTATTCCCTAAATAACTAGGTTCAGTCATAACCAATGTTACCTCTGATTTCTGACATGCTGTGTACAGGGGAAAAAAAAAGTTTTGTGTAGCTTTTCCCAAACCAAGTACAAATTTGTGGACCACAAGATGAGTACATGAGCAAACTGCAAATACATGTAATGGCGATATGTTACAATGTTTACATATTTCTTAATTAAAGTATAGAAGCTAGAAAGTATAATAGCATGTCACATACATGCTTAAAAGTTGTGCCTTTAAGTCATTTTTGACTCCTGGGGACTGCCCCCTGTAGTTTTCTTGGCAGCATTTTCCAGAACTGGTGAGCCATTTCCTTCTTCCCAAGGCTGAGAGAAGTGCCTGGCCCAAGGTCATGCACCTGGCTTCAAGCCTAAGGCAGGACTACAGCACACAGTCTCCTGCCTTCTAACTTGGCGCCTTTAATCACTACACCAAATTGGCTCTACACATATTAACTTAGAAATTATAATATAAACTCAACATAATATAATATAAACTCATCTTTTTTCTGGAATTTGATATTGTAATGAAAGAAAAATAAAATAAAAAGGCATTATACAAAAAGCATTTAGGCAGCCCCTCTTTCATGTTTTCCTATTCTTTCCTTTTTCTCTGGATGTATTCCAAACTTACTTAAACTTAATAATTATTCACCATTAAATTAAATTAATTATTATTAAATAATTATTATTATTCAATTATTATTAATCCAAAATTAAATTTTTTATAAAGTTAACAGAGATCATGGACCTTCTGCAGCCCCAAACTCAACAGATTTTTATTCAACTTTTTTGGGAGGGAGGAGGGAAATGAATTCAACTTTCTTTGGAGGGAAGAGGGAAATTAAAACCTTTTTTGAGGGGGGGAGGGAATGAAAACTTCTTTGGAGAGAAGGAGAAAGCAATAAACCTTTTTTGAAAGGAGAAGGGAAATGAATCAAATCTTTTTAGTGGGAAATGCTCCTTCATGCCAGGGGGCTCTAGGGTCCAGAACAGGTCAGCTACAACTGCAAGGCTAGAAAAGGACTGCCTGC